GACGATCACTAATCAGCCAACAAAATGTGTTCAAGAAACAATCTGGAGAATTGGATGCGGCTGTTGAAGCCAGCCTAGAAATATCTGCTTTAATAGCCAAGAATGGGAAACCTTTCACAGATGGCGATATGATAAAAAAGTGTCTTATCATCGCAAGTGAGATGTGTCCTGAGAAGACAGTGTTTTCAAACAATCAGTCTTAACCACATGACGATACAACAAAGAATCGCACAAATTGCATCAGACATCGCATTAATCACTTGGAGGTCCGGCCCCCAGTCAATAAACTTAATCCTAATTTGGCCCTTCTTCAAAAAAGGTTGTGCATCCCTGTGTAATACTACCTGAAAACAATTTTAAATAACAAATTTATATTTAAACATGAATTGTAAGAATGTTAACTCATGACAAATTTCATTTCACATATGCTTTCTGCTTTAGTAACTTTGTACACAATGTTCTAAATCTAATGTATTTTGTTTACAATTTGTCTGCTTAATATGTCCCCTAAATGATGTAAATACAGTAGTCTGAGATTTTAACATACAGTTTAGCCTTTTGATATGTATATGAACTTTTTGCATGACTTTTGAGTCTTGGTTTTTTTACCCAGCTGTATTAAAGTCACTTTAATAGATTATAGCAGAGGTGCAAAATATTTTCAGGACCAAAAATTTCCTTAAAAATTATTACACACTAGCACACAACACAAAACAATTTATGAATCGTTTAAAAATTGCTACTATATCAGTTGAAAAATTCAGATTAAATCATACAAATGATTACATAGGTCTACTGCATAATGTGCTACTCAACACTAAACATAAATGAATATAAAAACTTTTTAATACGTACTATTCCAGAACAGTGCTATGTACTTAGTACTTTGGTTCCCATTTGAATACAGGTATCCCTCATATAACATGGTTTTGCTTTAGCAGTTTGAAAATTGGGAATATCCCCCTTACAACATGATTTCCAGTTTTGCTCTAACATGGGAATCTGTATTTATTTTTGGCATGCCAGATCTTGAAAACAAAGAATAATTTGAAAAATATAAAGAATTTTAAGCTTATTTTTGATCCTAGAATCTATCCTTAAAATACTGGGACAAAGTTTAGTTACTTTCTGTTTATAAGAAAAATAATAAACAACCTCAAAGTGAAAAGAAAATAATAATGTGATTACAACAAAAATAAATAATTCATTTAAATGAATGGGAAATCTGCTGTCATTTATTTGATGATAATTTTATTATCCAAGGTTCACAATTAGTGAGATCTTTAAAACTTTTTACAACAGCTTTAGGGTCCTGCTTTAACATACATATGCAGAGTTTTGAAACCTATATATATCTCACTAACCTTATGAAGCTTTGCAAAAGTTTTAACATACCGCAAATGTTTTCCGTCCACCTTAGGACCTTCTTCAGAATTCTAATAGAGAAAACCTTTTTCGGTGCATTTCTGTTCTATTTCTGTTTCCAATGTGTTCTAATTTTCTTTCGAGTTTACTGTTCTGTGAAAAACTGTATTCAGAAAAGTACAGAATAAAGAATGCATTAATAATTCCGACCGCAACCGTCTCAACTAGTGTTGCAACGAATAGTATATTCGGCCTCAAGCCGAATACTCGGCCAAAGTATTCAGCTTGATTAACACACGTACAAAAATTGGCGCACAAACCGCATTATGGCCAGGACCCTGCTCTCTATTGGCCCACTGTCACTACACTTCACCAATCACATTAATTCTTGACAGTTCAGACAAGAGCGTCATGGCAGTATGTGATAAGTGATGATATCAAATGTGGATAACAATGAAATGACCTACACATGAAAATAACGAAAGAAAAACAGAGAAGAACCGTGAAAATGTGAAAATAAATACAAAATTGAGTTGATAACATAATCAAACAAGTTGAGGCAGCTTATTGTCCCGAAATTCGCGGCCATCAATGCCAAACAATTGTTGTCATAGACTTTGGAAAGCTAAATGCTTGTAATGAAAGTCACTTAGTGTGCACGGGCGAAAGCCTGGAGTCATTCGGGCTACCAAGATGTCTCGAATCTGTGAAATCATAACTGTGACTTATACCAACGTCCTGTCTCTTTTCTCTGTTATCACCAGGCTATGAGTCACATAATTATAAAATGGGGAATCTACGATGGAAAAGTGACGAATCGAAAGTATCACGAGGGCGTATTATGATATATGCACAGGCATACGTGGACTAGAGTGATAGAGAAAAGAGAAAGGGAAGAGCAAAGACGAGCACTTAAAAAGAAGGATAGGCAGGGTCAGACCCTCAGATGTGCGACGATTCTCGAACGAATATGTGTGTACGTGTGATGATCTTTGTAATTATAAATTGTGAATACAAGTGACTTATATTATGTTATTTTGTGCATGTTATAAGTTATAAATAAATATAAACAAACACTAACCCGATAACATTAAATCTAAATACCAAATTGATTAATTTACTGTGTTTTTGTTATTTCTTACTCCTGTTTTTAGGTATTCGGTATTCGACCGAATAGTGATTAAATATTCGGTATTCAGCCGAATAGCGAAAAATAGGCCGAATATCGAATAGTAACCAAATATTCGTTACATCACTAGTCTCAACACTCAATACGAAACAATTCATAGTAGTTCCAATGCCAGAATGTTTCCTATGGAATTGTTCAATCCAAAACTACCCACTCATAGCATACAAAACATCAACTTTATTCCCATTCTTATTTTTCTCTTTTAAAAACATTTTTCAAGTTGGAGCAAACATCGTCGGCACATTGTATACCCACATTACGAATAACAGCAGCATTAACACTGCAACATTAATATAAAAAACCTTGCCTCCGGCTAAAATGCAGTTTATACATTGCTATTTGGTTCGTGCAACTTCGGGAAGTCTAAAGTAGCACACTTTGTACCGAACGACATAATACAATTTTGTTATCGAATTCGAACGACCGGAACACGTTTCGTACCACGTATTTTCCAATATTTTGTATTAACAGAACTCGCCAAGATTAAGATGCCCATCTTCATCCACGGGGCCGCAAATCCACTCCGCACTAACATAGAATTTGCAAGATTGCCGACTTAATAAGAGTTACTCTACATTACGTCAGTTGCTCTTAAAACTAAACTCGGACCTAATAAACAAATCTCCCCATTCTATAATTCGCACGGCACGAATTTCTCAGAAACAAAGGAACCGTTTCTATTCAGAATACCGAAGTAGAAAAAGAACAGCAAGCAAAATAAACAATTTATACCTTAAAAAAAGTATAAAATCTAAACATTTTTGGAGAAGAAATTTGATTTTACATCTATCAGATTTCAAAGCAAGACATTTAATGACTTCCACAGGACAATGACAGCAGCATTCAATCACTGTCAGGAAGTAATCGACTAAACTTAATGTAATATAATCAAATATACAATCAAAATAAGAGTAAAGGAGAATACTTAACGCCAATATTTCATAAGAGTAAATGTTAGGAAACGTCAGTGAGGCAAGTGAGAACAAAGTGAGACAGTTTTAAAATATGTCGCCCGTAGTAAGGACCTCCGAGAAATCCAAACCCATATTTTTCATCGTAGCAATGTTATTAATTTAACTCTGGCTTGTTTCTTACTTTAATACATCCATTTAAACTAATTATATTTCATATATGTTTGAGACGAGTGAGTGTGTCTAAGCCTAAACGAAGGTGGCCGCAGACGTGTATTTATTATTACATCCCGGTCGAAAGATATTAAACCTCCAATTGTTAGGATTAATTTCGTTTTTGACCATTTCCAGGTGGAAATTACAATTAACGAGGGAAAAAACTTACCGTTTTACGTAAAACGTTCTCGTTACACTAGTCGAGGAGACAATCGTGCAACTTGCCAAATGCGCTGTTTTCTACAGTAAATCGCCCAGAAATCGCCAAAGTATATATATTTTTTTAAATAAAATAAACTAATAAATTTCTCGAATGTTTTTTTAAAGTATTATAAATTTAGATTTTGTAAGTTTAAATTCAATTTTTTATGGAATTTCGTTTAATATAAATATAATTAACAAAGTGTTTTGTCTGCGATAGAAGTTGAAAGCAACAGCACGACCAATAAACATGATTTTTTTTGCAAATATTTACGAGGTTATTCAAACAGAACTCCCTCATTTCAAAAAATTCAGTTTATCGCAAACTAATACTAACAGACGCGGATGCCGAGCGGTCAAGGCGGCAGCCTACCGCTCTGCATCCGCTGCCGGGTGGTGAGGGACGGGGCACGACATATCCGAACGGACCACCCCCCGAAAAATTCCTGGGGATTTTTCTTTTCGACCCGTCCTGATTCGAACCCGGGTCTCCCAGAGCGGTAGGCTGCCACCTTGACCGCTCGGCCATCCGGCCGCCAGAGGAGAGACCTAATTTTTGTACCCGGTGAAAACGGATAAAATCGGCTATATAACTGTAAAGGTTATCTTACGTAAGGGTTTATCACATCGAATAACCAACCAATCTAACCAACCTTTATTCCTCTACTGTACACAATTTAAAGAATTTTTAAAATGTGTTAGATTGGGCACTCGGTGTGTAGGTATAGTACTGTATTTGATTTATATTTACGAAGGTTATAGTAGAAGGGTTAAAAGTACGAAATAATCTAATAATCTTAATCTTTGCTGTTGTTATTTTTTGCACGAGCAACGCCGGGCTCATCTGCTAGTGGTTTTCATATCCTAGTTTAGTAAAATAAAGATGCACAGAAAACATTTTAATTTGTGAAACTTTTCTTTAAAGTACCGCATTGTTTTAGTGGCGATTTAAAACTGTATTAACAGTTTTCACTCTGATATTTTGGCGTTGGACAATTATCAGACTTTTACAGCCGAATTAATCTCGCTTTTAGCACACCCAATATATTTAAAAAGTTGCCACTAATATAAGTTCCTTTATCACTGAAGTTCGATGTTATCGCAGTTTCCTCCCCTTTTCACTTTCTGGTAGCTTATGATAATTCTTAGATACATCGCGATTGACGACGTCATCTCGTCTTTCATGAGGTCATTTTCGATCAGATAACAAAAGAAAATATTTGTTTAGTAGATCAAGATTTTACGAAATTCGAATCGTAAGTAAAATTAGTAACTTAGATTTTGTAATAAGAAATTAAACAAATTAATATACAGCCTAATTACATGATACTGTACTAAGTATACGTTCTTTGATTTGTCTTGACAATTTAACATGCATCTACCTTTAAACGCGAGATAATTTTAATGATTAAATGAATATTATCGGTAATCATTCTTTAAATAAAATATAGATTATTTTTAAGTTTTATTTAAATTCGTCGTAATAATATATATAAAAATATATTGTACTGTATATTAGGTCTATGTACTCGCATTATATGTATTATTATATTATTAATTTAATAATTAATAAATGTTTATAAATATCACGACAGTTTTTTATACATACTGTACAGTAGACTCTCGTAGCATCAACCCCGTTCAGCATTAACTATCGATTTTTTTAAACTTTTTCCGCTTTTTGGGCACTAACAGGGTCTTGTTTCATACTCAAAATAGGTTCGGCCAGATCCACAGATAGATTTAATGGAAGCATTGACACAACCCTGCTTAAGAGACGGCGTTTTTTATTATTTTCAACTTTTTGGTACTAAAAGAGCTTTTTTAGCAAACCTATTACAGGTGCAGTCATGTCCACAATGGGCGGTGAGGTGATGAGGGACGGAGCCTGACACATAAGGAGAGACCATCCCTGAAAGTTTTTCGATCTGTCGGATTAGGTCCTGGATCCCCTGAGCGGTAGGCTTAACCACTCGGGTCATTAAAATCCTCAAGAATTCCTGGATATTTTGAGCCTCGTTTCTCGTCATCCGAACCCACGATCAGAGTTTCTTTCGGGAATACCGGAAAGTAATTTTGATCGAAAATTGAAAAAAATATTATATATATTGACCGACCAATTTCATTTGTCACCCCTCAGGTAAAAAAAATACCTTCCCAAAGAATGTTTATAACAGAAACACTGTCTAGATCAGTGTTTCTCAACGGGGGCGATATCGTTTCCATGTGGGCGTTTTTCCATGTTCGGGGGGCGATTAGTAACAATTTATATTTTGAGGGGCGAAAAACAATTTTCTGGGCGATATAGTAAAANAATCTTATCGCTAGGAGCACGGAAGAAATGTCTCTTCTCGTTCGATGACTTATATCCTGCCTTGCATCCTGGCACAAAGCACGTTGGCATTTTTATGGAGCTAAAAAAACAATTATTATAGGTCAGTATTATAGGTATGACTTCAGTATATACCTAGCAAGAACAACGATCTCCTGCTAACAGTGGCGCCGACTAGCGGCAAATATTGTCTCTAGCTAAGTTTGAACTATTAGTCGAAAGACCAGTTAATCTACCGACTCTGGCCTTGTCCCTCGGCATCGGAATTTTGTAGTGAAGGAGGCGATACTACGTAACGGTTTTATTGAAGGGGGCGACGATTCGTTAGAGGTTGAGAAACACTAGTCTAGATGGTTATGAAAAAAGACCCACTTAATGTCAACAGGAGGAAAAGAGGTTTGTTTTTCCATACTCATCGTAGGTTACCACAATTTCTACAGATGTTCTGTAGAGAGAGATCTTTAGAGGAATACATGATTGTAGATCTCTAATTATGCATGCAGTTAATTTACTAAAAGCTAAGTCCATATTTAGAAAAACAAAATTTATAAATTACATAGTAATAGATGTTTCAGTTTATGTGGCACTTTCCACAAAAATGACTTGCAAAACCGAGTTCCAGATATTGTGAGTCATTTTTCCGGTTTCTTTTAATAACAAATCATTGACGTATCTATAATTGCAAAACACAATCATTATATCTGGAAATTTCAAACGAATAAAAATTTATTTGCTTAAAGACTAAACAAAACTATTCGAATAAGGTGATAATAGAAAGTAAAGATTAGCAGTAAGGTTTCTATTCTAGAAGATTCGGTTCGAGTTTGAGTCTTAAGCTGAATGGTAAGGTATATGGTTCGATTGATTTTATTGACATACAGAGAATTGGAGTGATGGGATATGTTAACGCGACACGTGGGCGATCTGTCAATGGAAGATGCATCCTGGGAGAACTTTTACTAGAAGTTGGCCCTTATTCAGGTGTATTTTTTTAACGCTTTCCCCCCTGTGGGCACTAAAGGGGCCTTTTTATGCAGGCGCATTATGCGTTCGGCCAGGCCCACAATGGGGCGGCCGAGTGGTGAGGTAAGGGGGTCAACATATGCGGTCGGACCACACCGAGGAATTCCTGGGGTTTTTTGACCCGTCCGGATTTGATCCCGGATCCTCATAGCAGTAGGCTTTAACCACTTTAACCGCTCGGCCATAGGTGAGCAGCTGTGATTTGATATATTAAACATTTATTTTTTATTTATTCTGTAGACTAGGGATGGCCAAAACGTGGCGCATGCACCAAACTTGGCGCATTGGACGATTACAAGTGGCGCTTCAGTTAGATCTGAGCAAAATTGTCAGATTTGGCTTTTTTGCGATTAAAAATATTATATAGAAAAATAAATTTTTTATAGTCTGTCTTGGCCAGTTCATTTGTTGCACAATTCGTTACAGTCTATTTTGCAGATAAAATGAGTGTTCTCCACATAGTAAATTACAGTGTATGCATGATTGTGAGTCTTGCGATCTTTATTTCCGATCAGTTTACAGGCGTGTAAATGGTTGAAAACATTTATTGTGATTAAAGTTATTCCAAGCTGATCTCCTTCTCAGTGCCAATAATTGTGGTGCAGAGTAATCTACACGAAACAAGACTCTGGCAGCTATAGCACCATCATCAAGCAATCACCCTCTCGTACAGGAGATCATTGCTGACTATTGTAAATTGGTGCTTCAATAAACTGTCATAAATTAATTGAACTGCGTGATTAAGTTATTCCCTTTTCTCCCCTAAGCGAAGCAGATTTATTCTTATCTCTATTTATCAACCCCTAACATTGAACGTAAGACTGTATAAAAAGTGTTCGATTTATATGGCGCATCTGAACTCGTCTGTCGGAAAATTGGCGCATTGTATGCAAAAGGTTGGCCACCCCTGCTGTAGACTGTACTTGATTCACTGTTCCGCCGAAGTAACAAAATTTATATTATATAATGTTTTTTATACTAGCTAAAAGTGTATTTTATTTACTTCCACTCTCATATCACATTTAATCTTCATATTTTTATAAAATTGAAAATTATGGAATGTTGTCTCGCATGTCAAAACAGTCTTCTGCTACATATAACTTTAAAGAAAAAATATAAAAGTTACGGTATGTTTTTCATAGCAATAGTAGTTAATTTTCTTTGTAATATGATTTCATGTAGCACCTAGCGATACGTTAAGGTCAAAAGATACAAAAACGAAAAAAATTTAAGTTATTCGCTTGACCGAGTGTTGCACTTCAATTGATTTTTATGTTCCTTTACTTTTTCCATTATATAAATTGATATTCAAGAAAGTTTTTAGTTTAGTTTCACTCAGTTTTCAGAACAGATTGGGCATTCAAATGAATCCCAGATTCACCATATTTAGTCCTTTTTTTTTTTTACTGTTTCGTTCCTTGAGTTTACGTGCTGTAATATTTTATGTATTAAAAAATCTTCGCCTTTGCATTGTTTTTAAAAATCATAAATACTTCCAATTAAAAGTTAGGAGTCTTTAAAAATCTTTAATTTTAAAGGACTAAATATGGCGGCACTATACTACTACTATATTGCGAAACCTGCCGGCGATTATCCGAACGAAAACACGACACTAGCGTAATATTTTCGTTGGTTTTATTTGTAAACGGCGCCGTTTTTAAAGACTCGATGTAATTATACTACGCAGTAAATTTATGACTACGCAATATTTGTGGATTTTTTAAAAAATGACATTACGACAAATAATCTTTTGTGAATAAAAAGATGGCAGACGACTTCGAACGAGAAAGAATCGAGGTGATCGGAATGTTTTCATTCCACATTCATATCTAAGGCGAAATATTTATACATTAATATTGAATATTTTAGTAATTTATTAATATGTAAATTAATTTTCTCTGTCGTAATATTTTTCGTTTGTATGATTTCCAAGTCTACTGACGTAAGGTCAGGGACGACAATGGATGTGCTTTCCCTGTGTCAACGATTTCTCTTATTGTGTTTTCGTGCCTTCTCGTCCTTCAGTTTTGTTATCTTCTTTATTTTTTAGGTACTATGGCCAAATTATGCCGTTTTTTCGAGTGTCAAAACAAACAAACAAAACATCTAAACCAGGGGTCTCAAATTCAAACGTGGCAAAGGGCCAGTCAAATACATGTATATTGGACGTGGGCCGTATTCGATATTTGGTAAACCGAAACGTACCGTAATTTTTAAAAAAAAAAAGCTCTTTTGTTGCCTGGCCTTTACGACTTACGTAAACGGTTAATGTTCAAAGTTTTTGTGTTTTAATCCCTGCCAGATGTTCGAAACGTCGATTTTAAGAAAGGAAATTGTCGAGGCTGCGGGCTGGATACGAAGCCTCGATGAACGTATCCGGCCGGCGGGCTGCCGGTTTGGGACCCCCGATCTAAACAAACAAATGACGCGTCAATGCCCTGTTTTCTAGAATGGACTGATGACGGGTGTAGCCCAAAATGCATTTCTATTAAAACAATAAAAATTACTCTCTGTTTAAAAAAATAGTTTTTCTTGTATGATAGATCTGTGAAGAAGATAATATCTGATTATTGCGGAACTACTTGTAAAGGTGTAGCTAGGGGTGACGGGGGAGGTGATCTGCCCCGGGTGGCATTTTTAGCATTCAAAAAATTTTAACACTTTTTTAATAACATGAAGAGTAAAATTATCAACTATTCTGAGAGTTAACAATTACAAAAATTATGACTCATTGAAAAATATTGTCTAAATAGGTTTGATATGTATTATATATTTTCCAAAGGAAGGTGTCAATTGACAGATCACCCTAGGTGGCTCAAACTGTAGCTACACCACTGACTATCTAAACATATGATTATTGTTTAGCATCATGGCTGTCAAAGAAGGCTGTTGATAAACAATAATGCTATTCGTTGACAGTAAACAAAACATTCTTTGAGAAACAATATAAAAGTGATGATATAAAATACAGCCAAATAATCGGTATGGGACAGTTCAAATATTACCAGTATTATCAGCAAAATTTTGCTCTTTTTTGATTCCCTTTTCGTAATCGTCGGTCGTCGGAAATCGAGATATTCCCTCCTGGTAATTACGTCGTCGGGTGAGAAATTAACCATTTGGAAATACACAAATTATTTTCATAAAATTTTGTGATGATTGGGGAGAAAAATAAATGATGGGTGCAATCTAATATCAACAAAGAATTGCCTTCCTCCCCATCATTAGCAATAGTGAGACACAAGTGAATTCCTCTCCCTATAAACTGCTAATAAAATTTTGTCCACTTATAATTGTCATCCTTGCAGTGCTGTATTTTCTCCTGGTGATGAAAATTTCAAATAATTTTTTTCCCTGTAAATCCCCCATGATCTGCATTACATGTGTATCATGTGATTCAGTTCAGTAGAGCCAACTCTAGGCATGTCTGAGTACCATCAGTTTTATTCTAACCACCCAATATTAGCTTAAGTGGGCATAAAATTGTTTTCTTTCATATCTTTTGTGCAACACAGTTCTTGCTTAAATTATTAGCAATAAACCACTTAACAGTCTTTATTTAGAAGTCAGTTTATTCATGGAAGAAAGGCTATCAAAAATATGTAATGAATGAACTAAAAATATTTATTTTCCAAATGAATTTTTTTACACATTGAATGTTCATACAAATATTTGTTATATTCTAAAATAACTAATGTTGCAGCCTGATTATGTAAGTGCAGGAAAAGAAATTTTTCAAAAATTATCTTTTATTAATAAGGATTTACTCAAAAGTTTCTACTATCAATTTTTGATTTTTTGCTAAAAGCAAAACAGATATACTTTGAAATAACTCAAAAACTTCCTGTAAATATTTCAATTGATGTATTGTTGTATGAATGGTTGTTGCTCCTCAATGAAAAAGAAGTCATCTTTCAAATGTATAGTACTTGCAGTAAGAATTGACCATTATTTGGCTTAATTTATGAACCTAATAACATATTGGTAACTTGAAATACAAAAATATTTCAAAAATTTTGAGAGTTGCTCTAACATTGTTACATGGTAATGGTGGTAATGGGGATTTCCAATTTCTACTAAAACATTGGAGTTTGTGTAGAAATTGGACTTTAATAGGTGATTGTGTATTATTTCAGTAGATGATTCAATAGAAATTTTGTATTAATGGACTTCAATAGGTGAACATATGTGTCTTACACCTTGTGAGATCCCCTGGCTGTGATGGAAGGAAGGACCAGTACGGTTGAAAGGCTCTTTGGAAAAAAGGGGTCGAGGGTAGTAGAGTTTCAAGAAGGGAGTGAATTGTAGAGTGAGGAAGAAAGGGGAGCCTACTATGAAGTTGCCAAGTGAGAAAAAAAAGGATCATAGAAGAATATTGAATGAAGGTGCAAGAGACTAAATTAATAGTGGTAGGAAGATGATCAAATCAGTTTCAAGTCTGCAAGATAGAAAGGTAGTGAAGACTCAATTTTGACTTTTAGGGTTTGCCATATTAATCTCTGGAATAAAGGAGGGCTTTTCATACTATTGTTGGGCCTTTCATATATTACACATGAAATTTTTCATGTAAATGTGCATTTGTGTTTATTTGATGTGTTTGTACCTCCTTTGGGATAATCAACTAATTAAATTTTTGTGCTGTTGCACTCAAGAACAGTAGATTAACACCCACAGGTGACCAGATTATACTGTTTACGTGTTCCATTTTGGCCCATTGTCAACATTAAAGATTTTTCTTTTTGCATTCCATTTTGTTCTATTCCCATTCTCACACATACATTAAATTCATTAATGACATGCAAGTGCTTTAAACATTTGGAGCCAGAGTTAGTTATTGTAACTAAAGAACTATTTTCAATAACTTAAGCTGCTCGTGCTAAATATAAGGAGTATTTAGATGATAAGATGAAGCAGAATTAAGAAGAAAGACAAATTAAAAGTGACAAAATGTTGTTAGAAAAAGATGAAGAAAAACTAAAGAATTTTAAAAAATCAGATGTATGTAGCCTGCCATTACTAAAGCAAGAAATCAATACTCTAACGTAAGTTGGGGCAACTTAAAGAAATTTGAGCAAGTGTATTGCAAAACACCAAAAGGACATGCAGTACTGATTAAGAATGACAGCCAACTTGGCTTCAGATGAGAATTACAAACTAAAATGGGATAAAGTAAAACTTCTAAAAGTAAAATTTTGTTACAAAATCAACAAATTTTATTCTTAGCAGATATTATTGTATATAAAAACATTCAAAACATGCAATATTTTCATGTTTAAAATTTCAAATGTATGTAATCATGTTATTACTTCTGCAGAGACGTTCTGTCACATTTACGTTATGAAGATTTGCACCAGCCAAACTAACCATTCAAATTTTGAACACATCATTTCTAAAACATCTCCAACTGAAGCTCAGTTGGAGATGTTTTAGAATTTGTATATGAGTGAAAGTGGTTATGGTTAAATATTTTAGTTTTTTAAGTTAAATCCTTAGTATCCTGGACTATGTGAATTCTCTTTTTATTTCCTTTTCATTCTTCACAAGTATGAGAAAATTAATTTAGTACTTATGATCATATAAACTAAATTCTGTAATTTACATTATTTATTGATTATAGTAAATTATCTTTGTAATTATTATTATATTTTTGTCCTATTAAAATTTCACTAAGAATAGATACTTCTGGAAGATGACAAAAAATGTTTTAAATATATTCACAGAATTGGAAGAAATAATAAATATCTTCATGTTTTATCTTTGTTTGTTTATTAATTTAAAAAATTTACCATAATTTTTTATAATGAAGCCATGCCTTTTTACTATAAATCTGAAAATTAACATTATTTTACTTTACAGAAAATGGACAAAGAAACAAATTTTTCTATCAATAAAAAGTCTACTGATGAAAAAATAGATATTGGTGAAGAAGATGAGAAATCAAATGTAAAATATGTGCTTCCTGTTATACGATTTTCAACAATTTTCAAAATTATTATAGTTATAGATTGGATCGTTTGCATTTGTCTTTGGCTTGTTGGTAAGATTTTTGTTAATAATAATGAAATTTTCAGTTTTTTAATGAATTGAATGAAGAAAATAATTTGTTTAAAAATATACTCTAAATTTATTATATTTTATTTAGTAAATAAAACTAATTATATATTTATAAACAAACTATATGGAAACCCGATACATTATAATAATAAAGCCAACCACTGTTGTATGCCATAATGTAACTGTCATATAGCTTGATGGCATATGGCAGTGGTTGACTTTATTAATTATATATTTGCATAATTAATTAGATGCAGCAATTTAAATTACACAAAGTTGTCATTTTATAATCATCTTATTTTACATCATTTTACTGTTTAAAAAAATATAGAGGAAATTAAATCATCATCAATTTTATCACATCCAATCATCGGGAACAAAACAGTCTTCCTTCTCACTGACACCTTTTATTATACTATTTGCTACACTCTGCAAAATTATGGAAAGCAATTAAAACATTCACTGATGATAAGCTAATAATTAATTAAAAAAATAAGTAATTCAATTAAAATAGCAGTCAATATTTTTACAATTTAAAAATAAGTCATTTTAATTTTTTTCAAATTTTAAAGATGAGTAAAATAAAATAATAATCATAAATCATGATGATAAATCTTTCTGAATATACATTTAGGTGAAAAATTTATATCCATATGCACCTACATTGTGCTATCTGTTGTAATGTGCTTGTTAGGAAGTTTTTTGATTCTATTTTATGGTGGAATCACACATTTGGTATTTGCCAAATGGTGAGCAAACATTTGGCCAATACTGAGTAGTGTAGATGATTTACTCGTGACTTCACTTGACAAATATTCAATATTTGCCATTTCCCACTCCTTATTAGTATAAATATAGTGTGCCAAATTGAAAGGAACAAATCTCAGACAAACATTCGTAATTTCCACAACAAATCAATGCTTGACAAATAATCATATGTGCTTGCCACATGGTAAACGCTTCAGCAAATACTTTGGTGAAAGGCAATTATTTGATAATTGGCAAATACAGAAAGCATGAAACTGCTTTTTTATACAGAACAAATGCAATAAAAATTATCTGAAATAACTTTTTAAATTGAGATAATGAAGAGGTTTTTTTTAAATAAGTATACAAGCATTATATATAATACACATCTCAAAGCCCGATGAGTTAATATAATAATCCAATGATCGCCTAAATATTTGGGCTATAATATGGCAATAATCAAATAATTAATACAAATAAATTTGGTACTAGAGGTAAACGTTAGACACCCTCTCTTATCTAAATTAATAATTATAATTTTAATAATTTAATAAATAATTTAGAACGTTCTAGAAGAAAATAACTGACCCAGAGCAGGGCAAATTATTTATTAAATTATTAAAATTATTAATTTAGATAAGAGATGGTGCCTGATGCTTACCTCTAGTACCAAATTTATTTGTATTAATTATTTGATTATAGCCATATTATAGCCCAAATATTTTGGCAATCGTTGGATTATTATATACAAGCCTTAAATGTATAAGTTTTTATTTTTATGTAACTCTACATTATTAAACTAAAGAGTATTGAAGACATGAAGCACAGCATTATTGAAGTAAGCAACTATATCATCTGTTATTTAGTTGACTATAGTGAAAACAATAGCAGAACTGAATTTACATATAAGCTGTAAGCTAAGCTATAGCTTACTGCCTCTTTCTGTTCTTAAAAGACAATCTATATATGGAGGAAAGAATAAGTGGCCGTTACCCTAGGGCAGGAACCCTCCCTAGGGTTCCCTCGAACGTTGATGGGTTCCACAAGTGATCACTATTTGCTCAGCCAAAATACATGTAAAATGGAAATCATCTATACAAGGAATTTTTCATGTAGGAACACTGTCTTATTAAAATATTAGATTAATATAATATTTAAGTAAAAATTACAATATTAATATAAATTGGATATAAAGTGGCAGTTGATTTTAAAAAATAAATTTAAATAAATATTTTATGAATAAAATAAATCTTGAAATTCAGTAAAAGTCATGCGCTTCAAATACACCAATCAAGACGCATGATGTCACATATTAGTTCTGTTAATCTCATTCTGTCTGTTAAATACAATCACGTACATGCGTACAAGTGAGTATTTATTTTGTTTTTATATCATAATTGATAACTCTAATTAAATTGTAAATAAATAATAAGACTACTGTAGCAATAATGGATATGTGGTTGAAAACTGGTAATTAATGTGCTTTCTCACCACACCGGGTTGTATATACTCCAAACCAACAACTACCTACAATTAACCATTAACCGGTGTGAAGTTCTTTAAAATCGGCAAACGTTTTCGATTCCCCTCCTGGGATCTTCTTCAGGCTTACTTCTTTATAGCTTTCGTTATAACCGGATTTTTTAATTCAAATGTTTTTGAAAAATACATAACGTGCCATTTTTCGAAAAAATTTCAGAAAACGGAAGGAATCCACGTGTTATTTCAAATGTAATTTTCTACCAATGGGGAATCGTTGTGTGCAGTACGTCATAAAATTTATCTTATAAAATATATTATGATTTATCGTCAATTAAAAATTGCCATGCTGCAGAGAGATTTATTTCTTCTTTGAAATTAATGCATGCGGATTTACGATCGGCTTTAAAGATTTCCACTGCCTCCAAAGTTCTTAGTTGTTCCGTGTGTTGGGTGGTGCGAATAACATGCGCTTCATCGAAGAAAGGTGTGATGTCCGAGTTTGTCGCATACGTAGATAGGGCCGTCGTACACTTATTATGTTCGATGTCTGATTTATGTTCTTTTAATCTTGTGGCCAATGAACGCTTGGTGGATCCGATATACACTAAAGGTCTATCCCATCTGTTATCTTTTAATGGAATACTGTATATCCCTGGCAGCCTATTTGGGTCTGAATTGTCCTTCCCGTTCCTTAATAAACTGTAAATGGTTGGGTTTCTTTTGTATGCAATATTAATTCCTTTTATTTTTGCAATTTTTCCGTACATTGCCTTTAGATGCGGGTTATACGTTATTGGTACCCTCTGTACGTTATCCTCATTTCCATTATTTAGTACCTCTACCTTTTCCTCTGCACCATTCTGCAAACGCCGGTGCTGCTTACATAAACCTTCTATCATATTGTTGTAACCGTGCTCTTTAGCTATCTTCCTAATGTAATTTAATTCTCTTTGGAGGGCTTGGGAGGTGGAAGAATGCGTAAATGCTCTTTCTACTAATGCTCTAAACGCCGCTATCTTGTAAGAGAATGGGTCACAAGATTCGTAAGGTATATACGTTGATATCGCTGTAGGTTTTCTGTATACATAAGTTTGTATCTCCCTTTCTTTCATATCTATGCCAATATCCAAGAAGTGTACTTTATCCTTACTCTGTTGTTCCAGTTCCACTACGAGGCCGTATGGGTTGTTGTTCATAGATTTTATAAAATGATCTATATCTGGCTCATCTTTCCAAAGGATAATTATATCGTCGATATATCTTCTGTACAGGCTGATATTTGGGAGAAAGGAGGGAAGGACTTTACTTTCTAATATCCTGATAACCATTTCGCATAAATCTCCAGATAATGGACTTCCCATTGGCACTCCTCTTCCTTGCTCGTATATGATGTTCTTAAATTGGAATACTGAATTGTAACAAGCCAGATGCGCTAACTCGAGTATGTCGTTGTGCAATGTGGTGTCCTCTATGCTAGAGAGAAGGAAGTCCCTGAGCGCACAAAAACATGGTTCAATTTTTATTGAAGGATATAAGGATCTAAAATCCAATACTGTCACGCAATCTGGAGTGTCTATTGCGTTCCAGATTGCGTGACAGTATTGGATTTTAGATCCTTATATCCTTCAATAAAAATTGAACCATGTTTTTGTGCGCTCAGGGACTTCCTTCTCTCTAGCATAGAGGACAATGTGGTGACATTGCACCACGATATACTCGAGTTAGTGCATCTGGCTTGTGACAATTCAGTATTCCAATTTAACAACACCATATACGAGCAAGGAAGAGGAATGCCAATGGGAAGTCCATTATCTGGAGATTTATGCAAAATGGTAATCAGGATATTAGAAAGCAAAGTCCTTCCCTCCTTTCTCCCAAATATCAGCCTGTACAGAAGATATATCGACGATATAATTATCCTTTGGAAAGCTGAGCCAGATATAGATCATTTTATGGAATCAATGAACAACAATCCATACGGCCTCGTAGTGGAACTGGAACAACACAGTAAGGATAAAGTACACTTCTTGGATATAGTCAAAGATATGAAAGAAAGGGCAGTACAAACTTATGTATATAGAAAACCTACAGCGATATCAACATATATACCTTATGTGAGGCCCTGGAAATAGCCCCTCTCCTAAAAAAAGGAAAGATATGTAAAAATTTGTTATGTTAAATCGTCAGGAAAGCAAATTATAAGTGTTGAATCGGAGACACCCGACTTTGACATCGACACTCATCAAAAGTAGACGGAAAAACCAAATTTTAGATGTAAAAAGAAGAAAATTTAAAATATTAAAAGTTAAGATGCAGTTTAGAAAGCAAAACGAAACTAGATAAAAAAAATGTCTAGATGAGCGAAGGTGTCATAGTCAACAATTAAACGATCAGATTCGAAAAGATGGTGTCGGATAAACCATCTCCAACCGACCTTTTCCACGAACTTAATGAAGCTCCATTTACTCCTGGAGACAGGTGGATGACCAATTGGAAAACGGTGATGTAAGATCTATCCAATTGACAAGGAGCCGATCGCAAAAATCCTATAAAAACGCAAAATTCAAGGACATCGGGACTTCCACTAAGACTTCCTCTAAGACTTTTCCACCTAGACTACCTGTTGTGTTCATTTGTCGTCAGCTGTTGTGCTTCCTTTCATCTTTTGTGAGCTGTCACTGCAGATCTCGAACTTCTCACTCGACGCAGTCACGGGGCCCCTCCAGCGTAGGACCAGAGCGACACCGAAAACAA